ACGATTTATGACATCCAAAATACTTCAATGCTTTTGCCTGATCTCGATCCGGGAACTAGGTACTTGATAACAGTTTTTGCCGTTGGAAGTTCAAATCAAGATGGCGGAGTGAAACAATTAGGATCATTGGGTGCATCGACTGTAGGAGTGACAAGTAAGGAATTTATTTACAAGTAAATTGACCTGCTTTCCTATACGCTGCCTACATCATTGCATCAGTATACTTAGATATATTATCTGGATAATAAACGTTTAGTCATTTTCCGGTGTTACATAACAATCCAGTTCCAATAGTGAAGTACACTCGAATGGGATGGTAGATAAGATTTTTAAACTAACAATATATATCTTAATTTTCAGGACTTGGTATACCTATGGACATCACATCACAGAATATTACCGACACTTCAGTTACTGTAATTTGGAACCCAGTTCGTTTTGCGACCCATTATAACGTTTTCATCGATCCGGCAGTTGGTGTAAACGGAACTGGAAAAACAGAAACCAATATGTATGTCGTGGTAATTAAAATATAAATAGACAATTTCGTAATTAATCACTCTTCGTTTTTTAAAAAAACCAAAAAAATTACTTATGTTCATTTTCTCCTGTCCGCAACCAGAATTGATTCGAATTCCTGGTCTATTTACAAATTAAAATTGATATGTATAACTAGATTTAGTAACCGTTCTGATTTATTGAATTGCAAAAACTATGTAGAATGTAATTCAAATCAAAATTTCCGATGGGTGTTATTGTTGAAAGTCTTCAAAGTTTGTCTTGGAACGCACTTATGCTTATTTCCCCATTACTCTAACAAACAGAAATAAAAACGTCAAGACAATCATGTGTGTACTAAAATTGTAAAGTCGCTACATCATATGTACAAAATATTCAAGATTTTAAATATTTTTCATGGAATTGTGTTTGTATTCAGAGCCCAGATTACTGGTCTAGTAAAAGGAGAACAATATGTTATTTGGGTATATGCAATGAATGAGGACAACAACGCCACAAGTGAACGTATAGAACTTGCCATTGTTGCGGGTAGTAAGTATACAATTTGTTTGTCTCATTAATCTATATATCTATATACTTATGATAATGCGATTTACGCTACCAAAGACAGAATGCCCCATACCATGCTTTAAAATATTCAAAGCAATGAAGAAACTTGTTTTAAAAAAAAAATCAACTGGAAAACGAAACAGTATCAAAACTAGTACATACAACTCCTCCGCAGGGATGGCTATGGTTGGGGTGATGGACAATTGAATGCCATTGTAAAGATCTTACCAGTTCTGTGTTCCAAGCTATGCATATAAAATCCCATTTGATGATTCCTCGTAAGACTTCGAATATATTTTCAAAATATTATTATTTTCAGGTCAAACGCCAGTAGATACCGAATATGGCGGTGGTTCGTGGCCAATTTTTACCGAAGCCGAAGAACAACCAACGCCTGATGAACCAAATCTGAAGCACCCAGGGTAAATGATTTATCATTACCTAATCAGGGTGGTCCAAGGTTGTGAGGTTGGAGGGCCGCAAAAACTTTTGAGTAGGTCTCGCGGGCCGCAGTCGGAAAAAAATCAAAAGTGTTCAATCAATGTACTCGTAATGTAGATAAAGGAAAATTAAAAAAAAATCTTCTTTCAACATCACACACATACAGCATATATATATATATATACAAAACTTATTCTAATTTAATGTTATTGTCTGTCAGAAATGAAAAGAATGAAGGTGATGAACCGAAGAAGGAGAAAGACGGATCGGGAAATACTTGGATTATAATCGTAGTCATTGTCATTTGCCTTGCATTATTGGTTTTATTTGCTGTTGTTCCATGTTGTTGTGACTGCATGAAAAACAAGCCATTGTTAAAGTAAGTTAGAACTGTTTATATACATTGCTGGGAATGATCTGATCGATTTTTTAAATATAATATAAGCAAGAAATTCTATAAATTTATTACCTCATTTCACTTCATTCTTTCAAGATTCCGCTAGTCTCCATTCATTTTGTTATTTTAATGAAGTTATGGCGGAACTTGTGGTAAATTTGAGACAACAAATTAAAACAGTTTTCTCATACGAGAAACATCTTGTGAAATTTTTACTTAGTCATCTTGACAGTATTTTGTGTTCATTCATCCAGGTATCATGGATGGTGCGGATGTTGCTCTCCATGTAGTGATGTTGGTTGTTGCGGATGCAGAGGATGTTGCAATGCCACTGCAAAAAATATCGACGATGAGGATGATGATATAGAAATTGCCGGAGGAAGGGGTTACACTCCAAGCATGTCACGAAGAACTCATTCTAGAAATTCATACACAGTTCATCATTGATTGGATTAAAATATTTTTCTCGTCAAATCATGGTCGTTAGAATGATGTCAAAAAAATAAGAAAAATGTGGCAACATTCGACTTCACAAAATATTTAAAAACTGAATCCATTATCGTTAGTCTTAAGTTTTTGTTAAAGTGTGCCCAAATTAATTAATGGTGGTCAGTAAAATATTTTACGGTAAAAACGTGCCCCACAATCTATGATATCTTTTAGTGAATGTGTTTTTCTTATTTGTCGTTGACTATTATTGAATTGCTTTATCGTTTATTGTTTGTGAAAATATATTTATATTGAACCTAATTTAAACTTGTTTTGTATAAAACATAAGTAGGAATTAAAAAATTACAAAGATAGAAAAATCAAAAACGGGATAAATATATACATATGTATGTGCATCAATGGCGGCGATTTAAAAACATAATGCGACATAATATTTTACAATAATGAACGAAAATCCATTATCAAAGCTCAATCGCCAAATACCTAAAAATTATAAAATTCAGTGGGAGCTTCGGAATGAATTCAAATAAAAATTTTCAAAATAAAATCGGCCATACGTCACTGCTCTTCGTTCTCACACACCGATACCGAAAATATATATACCCCAGCCTGAGTAAAATATTATGAATTTTTTGAAATTCATCGTTGCTTACATCACGTCGTCAGCAACAAAGTATGCCACACGTAATTGAAGATATAAGCTAGGATTGATTCCATACTAAAGCTTGCATAAAAATCGAGAATTATTCATCAAAATCGATTACATAGCCTACTATCAATAACCTAGCCTTGTCACCGTATCATTAATGCCTCCGTATAGTGATAACGCTTGATTAATTTGATGCATTATGCATGCATAATTTCATCCCATTGACTTTTCGCGCTTATCGAATAAATTGTAAGACACAATTTGTCAGTATTTGACAGGGATGACGAATGAACGTAACTGCAATATTCTATCAGAATTTTCGTAGACCGTCGACGGAACTGAGAGTTCTCGTCTTCGTGGATGCAATTTACTTTTGAAGTTAGTTAGAAAAAAGATCGTAGAATTTAATCTAACTACTAATATAATTAAGATCACAAAAGATGAAATTACGGACGTCTTTCGAAATCGGTTTAGCCGCGAAACCACCACATGCACCTCGTACTAACGGCTCTGTGAGGTTGAATCGGCGGGGAAGTGTACTGAACAAAGAAAGCGATTGTTGCCAGAAAATAAATTCCATAAATTCAAACCAGAATAACAACAATGTAGACTATTATTCCGAGAATGTGCAAATACACCGGCAAATTAGTCCAATTCAGGAAAATGGTAACGACGATATTGAAGCTTCAGAACACGAAAATACTCAGTCTACCGGTATGCTTGGTACCGGGACTGACGAAAACGAAGCCAGTTTCGCCAAGCTGTTGGTAGTTTCCAAACCGTTCAAAGCTGAAGATGATTATATGACCGCAGAAGCTACTTGTGCCGATCAAACAATAGAAACAGAAAGCGAAAGATTGATTGGAAACGAGTATAATATAAACAACAACAACAATAATACTGGGTCATTGTCTGTTAGTCAAAACTCAGTTGACTGGGAAGCAAGTTCGCTAGACGATGATGATTTAGAAATATTTACGGACTTATCAGAATTTACATCTTGTACCGTGGACGATTGTTACTTATTGAATGGGGATTACAGTGGATTGTCACCGGATCAACTGCAACTCACTGTTACCGTAGCAAAGTCATCTGGATCAACGAATCAACAACCAACAAGTAAGATACAAGTTTTGGTTCCAGCTTTTGTTTACGCGTAGGGTAATTTCAGAGAACAATACTGTAGAATGCAAATTTTGGAAGCCCGTTACATAGCCTAAACGTAACATGAATTTATACTTCGCTTTGTATTTATGAGAAAGCGGGCCTAATTTATGTTTGTTTCAATTTTTGCTGCATGTGGCTTGATACTAATTTAATTAGAAGCTTTTTCACAATATACAAGTGCTGTAATCATCTTAATTTGTAAGTATTATGCTTGCGTGCAGTCCTGCGAACCACTGGTTACAGTTGAACCAAGCGCGAAGGCGCAGTTTTCTGACAACGCGCGGTTGTTTGCCTTATTCATAAATTGATTTAATTGAATATTTGTCAAAACAACGCGCGAGAACTCACTCGAAAGAAAATAAAAACTAACACAAGATTCAAAAGCTTCAAAACTGTCGGCAGGCGGCATTGGCGTTAGACGATGTTCGCGTCAACTCGGGCAAGAAAGTCTTCGGAATTCGTATCCCATTCCATAAGTTGCCACAAAAAAACTTTTTGTGTTGAAATTTCAACTCGACCATAGACGAATTAAATAATTTGGCAAATTGAACGCAGTTTAGAAAATACTTTTTTGATGAGCTTATCCCAAATAATTCAGAACCACAATATCTTTAAGAATATGATATATATATAAATAAAATGATGAAAGAGGCTTTTCGAAATATGCAAAATGTTGCAACTTGTTTGCCAATTTTACACCAATCATATTGATTACTCTCGTTTGAATTCGGTCATTATAATAACGTCGACTGCACCACCAACTAATTTGACAGACTGTTTGTAGATTGAATTACACTTCATTAAAATTCCACTCATACAGTACTTATGAATGAATCCCACATGAAGCATGTGTATTCCAGTACCGACATTTTACATGTTCCAACACATGCCGTATAATCTGCTTTTTGGTGCATATTTGCATAATTCATAATTGCGCATCTGGGAAGAAATCGACAGAAAAGCGTCGGCAAAAGTAAAATAGCTGATTTAAATGAGACTAAAAGATAGCAGATAGTCATAACGTTAGTTTTATTTAAAATGAATTTGCTAGAAACAGACAAAAGAAATGTGTAGGGAAATGCTTATTGTTGAAAGTTTATTTGGTGGCAAATAACTCTCAAAAAGTCAGGTTTACACTGATGATTTCGTAGCTTGTTTTACGTATGTAGCCGCAGAAAAGAGAATGCGACGCAGATTAAATATAGGTGTTAGGTGCGTTTTCCGTATTAAACTAGATCATATTGTTTCATGAACAACTTTTTGTTATATATATTGAATTATCCTTTAGCCTTTATATCTATATATCATATACATACTCTATCATAAAATATTTATTTTTAGTTTGTGCATCACCGAAGCCGGTATATATACATACGCAGCCATCACCTCAGTCTCCGGCATGGTCGTCCTGTACTCGTCAAGTAATAAAGGATTATTTGGGCTTGAATGATGCTTCAATAGACGATACGGCGGATAAACCGGAAGACGAAATACCATACAATATGAAAAGCCCCGTTGCCGAGCGCTCTGTACCTAGCGAAGAGGATGAAGTAAGCTATTTGAAGTCGGCTCTAGAAACAGTCCCGTTTGAAGATTCAAATTACAGTACTTTTGAAGACTACGAAAAGTCATTGTATGAAAGTTTGTACGAAATGAGACTTGATCCCGGGGGTATGTTACTCACACACGAGCAAAATTATAGAACCCTACCTACGAAGCTAAGCAATAACGACCGTAGCATCTTTAACCAAATTCAGTCCGAAATCAATCAAACTCAGGATCGATTTAACTCAGACGCGAAAATGGACACTAAAACAGCAAATACTAACGCAATATCAAAGAAGAAAATAAGTCGAATACCGGTTCGAAGTCCAACACAACCATCCAAGTAAGTAGTTTGGCGTAAATGTTTTTTTTTTATGATATCGTTATTTTCATTATCTTTATAATACATACTGTAATGCAGAATACCAAAGCGAGGAAGAAATTGTAGGATTGACGATTCTGATAATGCCACAACACCGTCACGGAAACCTGTAGTGCAGGTAAATACAGGATACAAATTGTTCGGTATAGTATTACTATATCTATGCAATGTATATTGTAGACACTCACTTGATGAAATATTAATGACTCGTTGCCTAAACTATACAGTACTGATGAGAGGTGCTATTCTTTTAACGCATTGAAAAATAGGAATTATAATATATATTATGCCTGTACTGTATATATCGCCCAATAGTTAACTCAATTTGGCCAGAAAGTTGTTTATATTTCGTTCTATGTATGTGCATCCATGAATTCGTTGTATCTGAATAATTTTAAATGGTTTCAGATTTTTATTCCACTTGACCGATACAAGAACGTTGAACACGGGTGGTGTGAAACTATAATATATTATACTTTTGTTTGCTGCTACAGTCCGGTCTATTGGAATTACCCCGAATAAGGACTCTTCCTCGTCCAACGCGACGAAAAGATCATATTCATGAAGATTCATCTAAAACGGAAGGATGGTTGAATTACCAAGCAAAAACTGCCAATCGAAATTCAAGACTGATTTCTCCGCAAACCATAATTTCAAAATCAGGCCGAGGATTAAATTCTACCATACCTCGCTACAGGGAAATGAAAAAGGTAGCCTACACTCATGTTTTATATCAATATTTGAAAACCATGATATCAATATTAATAACAATACGCCTCTTTAATTGGTATGGCATTGCTGTTGAAAAAGAATCTAATAGAGACGAACACACTTATTTAAAGCGCGAATATTGCGTTATACGCGATCAAACATTATCAATCAATGCTTCTTGTCACATGTACTGTCTCCCACGCGTCTGCCTTGTTTGATTATGCACAACGCTACGTCGTTGTCTGATGAATTATATGCTTTTCATTATGGAACCCGTAGGATTGGATACTTTGCAGGAACACTTGTTGCCACTGCAAACCACATTTGAAATGATGTTCTCAAATGTAGTTTCATACAAATTCATAGAATTTTATTCCAATTTTCCCTATTTCGGTTCTATTACGAGTTCGGGGACTAGCCAAGTGACTTCTGTATGTGTATGTATCTGGAATTATGGCCTAACCCTAACCTGGTACACATACTACGTTCCGGTGTCCGCCATCTTGGTTCACATACTTCGGGAGTACCGAAAAATCTACACGATGCATATTGAAAAAAAAATTATTTTGACTATTTGCCCACTTGTGTGAAAAGTACAATTAAAATGATGAATAATAATACATATTTTCCGATTCGAAATTTTATTTATATTGGTCTTATCAGCCCATGACTTGGTATTTTTTCTGTCAGCCGAACATCGTCAAAGGTTACGCACGGACTCTTCCAAATTCACCTCAGCCTGGATTAAGGCGGAATCAACAATGGTGGCGTCCTTTTTTGTCAAGACTAGATGAAATACGGGACTTCTTCATCGATTCGCCAAATATCAGCCCAACGGAAGTAGTTCGAAGTGATGTGATTGGATCATTAGCGGATGAACTGAGAAGCCTATGCGAAGGTTCGCCTGAGGTAACATGAGCATGCAATAAGATCTTGCTTATCATCTTGCTAAGATGACACCTTAAAATTTCAATCTGTACATAGAATGATCTATATAACTTCAACTGCTTGAGAGGAACTTGCATTAACATCTATAATTGAAATTTATACAGTCCTAAACACATTTCCCTCATTCGGCTTGTGATTGGAGCTTAGTTCGGGAAGAGTTAATGCATATGCAGCACGTTTGTCTCAACTCAATGTGCAAAAAATAAGACCCCTGGTCCCGTATTGCCTTTTGCTATTGCTACATTCGTTTTCACTCATAAGAATTCCAAGGTTAGGTGTTGCTTATAGGCTAAGATCGCTCGCTTCAGATTTGCTGAATGGCGTAGTTAATTTGACGACAGGAAATAACTGTGTCGCAAATTACAAGTAATGCATAATGTAGTCAACAGTCTATAACGTCCAAGTAAATAACTCAAAATCTAAGATATGGGCTCTTTAACTTTAAAAATGTTATTGTCAGTATACAGTATATTTCTGTGTTCGGTGTAGGGAAAACACCCCGCAAACAGTAGTGCATGGCACTAAAAATGGTGCCAAACTGGTTTGGCGAATTGTATTTGAATAAGCACGTGTCATCAAATTGATAATGTTTTACCATAATTCAATCAAAACCTTACTTAATTGATCCACATTATTAGGAATACAAATTGACAACTAACCCTTACACTTGCTATCTATTTCCGAAATGCAAACGTAGTTGGGCGTATCCTAATTTTATACGTTTTAAATTAAAAATCGATTTTGCTCTGAAATGCAAAAAACTATTCTGCACCATATATACTGAATTGGGAATATTTTAACAATATCCTGAAATTTGTATTATTTACTCAATATTTTTTGATAAGGTGTGCTCATAAGAAGTATTGTTAAGAGAAAAGGCGCAAATCGCTTTGTATAATTTTATGAATTTAACTCTTATAATATACCAATCTTGGCCCATTCTTTTCTAATAAAACCTTTGATCGTATAGCGGTATAGCCCATCACGCTCAGTTTGCTTTAGTTTAGTCTGCGAACTTTACCATTAGACCAGTCGAATTTATTTTAATTCCTTTAAAAAGCAAACACCTATCCTTTTAGATCAAACCGTGGAAACTATAGACATGAGTGTCGTGAACTGCGACCCAACCCCAAAAGTACATTGTCCGACATGATATTTCATGTAAATAAGTAACCGCAAGAAATAACTTGTTAATACGTATTTTAGATAGTAATAAGTTAGTGCCACTTTAATCCATTTCAAATACTGGTCGAAATACTGCGTTGCCGTTGTCCGGATCGGTATGCCTACGTAAACTACAACATTGGTGCCCGAAGGCATGCTTCATTCAGAAATCTTGTAGCATGAAATCATTTTCGAAAAACCACTTGTCTTTTAGTAGCAACATAGCGACTTTTGTATGTTGGCAGTTGGTCGTCGTTTGTCACTAAATTTATGAAGATTGCAAAGGTAAATACCGGTAATTAACTAGGCTAAAGTTTTGAGCCCACATCATCAGGTGTAAATGTTTGCTTTTGTCGCTTTGAAATTCAAGCTAGTAATTAGCGATTCCAGTTAGTCTACATCGAAACAGATTCGAGCGTTTAATTGTCCGCAGCATAAATCAATCACAGCTCTTCATCTATTTCTATAGTTGGTGAGTGGGCATGGTGTACATAGTGAGATACGATGTTTATATATGGCTCTTCAAAAAATGTACGGTAGTTGTGCCTAGTTGGGAACAGTCTCCGCTTGAACAGTACTCGTGCCTGAATGATGGGTGATGATTTTGAGTAGACTAGATTAGAATGCTATAGGCAGTAATGTAAGGCCACAGACGTGCTTTAAAAGTATTCGTATCAAACCTTCAATATAATTAAATATATATATATATATACATATATGTGTATTAATTTTCAAGGAGATTACTATTAATATCTGATGATTTGTTGCACGGGTCGTTCGTGGGGAATCAATTTCCAAAATCATTTATAAAGTCTGAAAAATCGTATCCTATCTTATTCGTCGACTCGAATTAGGGCTTAGGGAAATTACTACGATGGTTAGATCGTTCTTGAACAGCAGTAAGGGATAAATGTGTTGATAGTGCATTGTGTCGTCATTTGAAATTTCATCTGTAGCGTACGAACGGAATAATATCTGTGGTATATTTTAATAGATTAAATCACTGTTTTACGCAAGTAGCCTACCGTTTGAGTTGCAATTTACGAGAGCTGAAATGCTTACAATATGTAACAAAATCGACATCACCAACAAAGCAATTTTTCGTCCTAAAATGCTGTCCGAGCGGAATTCTTCGGTAACTTTCCCAGAGATTCGTGGTCGTGGACGACCGTTAGTAGGGAAAACAACACTTGTGTCAAAGCTACCCTGGCTGAAAACGATGTGCACGGAGAACAATACTATGGTATTGCAAGATTTGGTGAGTAATGGAATGCATTCTAATGTTTACGTAAAAAATTAAGCGAAAATGGAATAAGCTATGAAGGATACAAAAAATAATTATCATGCAAAACACCACCGGATCTGTTGAATTTTTGATGAATTTTGTCTCACTTCGTAAATTATTAAATATGATTTATATCCCTCTTTTCTTGAAGAATTCGTTGATGCATGTTGACAAATGGTGGTGAGTTGAAGTATTATATAAAAAGATGTTTTCGCGTGGTATCGTCATTGGCCACATTGTGGTTAAGATTAAGAATTATATGCTATTATACAATAGGTACACTACTACAGGATGGTGTATCTGAAATTTCGCCACGAGAAGTCACAAGCGAGTAGCAATATGTAAAAAACACAAGAACTTTTTCACCACATTAGACTTGGTTTTAAGACTTTGTTTGGACATTCTTTCATTTAAATAACTGTATATGTAATGGCTACTGCAGCGAATGGTGCCTAATGGTAGACAGGGAACTATCTAGTTTAAATATCATTTTCAGGTTTTTGAGTGTTTCGTTTATTTTGATGGTGATGTTTAATGTCAGGATGTATATGTGCAACGACCGTGAAGGTAACCGATCGCTGAAGCGTGAAATAAGTACATAGTTTCCATTTTATGTGAGCGATAAATGAGTTTTCATGCTTCCGTTCGTAGGCCTGTATTTGAGTTTTTGAGAATAAGATGGCATTGGCTATGGGGACTGCAGTTACATGTGAACATTGAACAATTAAAAATTCAACTTCAGAGTGCATGTATATTTTGTATAACTTAATTGTATATTGGAAAAAATAAACTTGACTTGAGACTTCTAGGACAAGGACAGTCTGACAGTAGGACCTTCTGACCTAGTTGTTAAGTCCTAAAGTCTGTAAATTGTAGTACCGGTAGCAGTAGAGCTACTCTCGTATGGTCGGGTCAGGTAGCGTTACTGCACTGCGATAGGTTATTGCTACAGTGCTATCTGGCTATTACAGTATTACTGTATTAGGGAGAATATGCAAGTTGGATATGGTATGGCAGTATGGTTTTCATAGTTAACCGCAGTATCCGTTCTGCTCAATCAAATGGCTGTATGGTGAACCTCTCGCATGTAAATATCTCTTAATCCCATGCAAGGTAATCAGAGGTCTAATGGCAAGCGTGATCGTATTGCTCAGCAACGGTGCGCCAATGCTGACCTTCCTGGCATTGTTACTTGAAGCAAGGAATTATAAGAAACTATTATGCTAGATTCAGATATTATGGTACTTCATACGTTAGTCAAAGTTCAAACCATACTGTGTCAATAATATATTTGGCTATACTGATGCAAAACAAGACATGAGGAAAAATGAAATAGTTAAACAAGATATAGATTGTGCATTTGATTACTATGATAATTGTTGTTGAGCAAAGTTAAAACTTTTTTAATCCGATTATAACATCTATGATGTATATGCGACTTCTACTACTAGTATCACAAGTATTTTTACTTTTGCTAGTGCCTTATGCTTTATTTTGGAACTCTATTTATATGAATATAATGTTTGATAGGCTCCGATTGGTTTGGCACCAGTCGAAGTTTCTCTGTTAATATCCTGGATGGAATGGCTGGAAAAGTTGCCAAATACGGTAGCACCATTTCCATGTCATTTGGAACTGGCAGCAGTAACTCTGACTATCATGACGATGTCCGCTCTAGTAGCGGAAATGGGAAAAGCAGCAATTCAAGAGGCGGGAAGATAATGGAAGATTTTTTAATGATTGATGAGGGTTCTATCATTCAGTCACTCGGAGTAGAGCAAGAGCGGGGTAGGGCTTTGAGGTACTTGGAAGCTCAACTGAGAGAGAACAATAGCCAACTAATTTTTCAAAATAAACTATCTCTCTTCCGTGGACTTGCAGAAACTTTGTGCGACAGCAATATCAATATCAGAATTGATTGTACAAAGCTGATTGCCAAAATTATACCCCAACTTTTGTCGGATCGAGAGAGATGTATGAATTATGTTATACCAAATATGGTTGCAAATATTGGAAATTGTCTTGCATTACAAAAAGAATCTGTTCAAACTCTTCATATATGCATGAAACACTCTGCTGATGTTTATCCGATACTTAAAGTTATAGCGGAACAAGGAATAAAACACAAAGATGATAAAACGCGAAAGCAAATTATTCACACATTTCCAACATTACTTTTCCCTGAGTTTAAAAATGAAGACTTCTTTGAAATAGTCATTGCTTTAGTGCAAAACCTAAATGAAAATGAATCTGACAGTAGCAAAGTAATGAAAACATTGTCACAAGTTAAGAAGTTTGTCGGCACTGCAAGATTTTCTTCATATATCAATGATCTTCCATCCCCTCTGCAATCCTTGTATAATGAAATGACGATGATAATGGACACAAGTACTTTATCAAGCAATCGGTCAACTCCTTCAATACTGAATACGGAGTCATACCCCAATGGAGAGGTAACTCATCCTAGTCTCCTTTCATTCAACAAGCCTGAATCAATTGATTATTCTTCTAAAAATATGACAGATTTTGGCAAAAGTGGGTATTTTGACTCTTCTAGCATGAAAAACTCATTGGGAAAAGGCTATAAGGTTAGGCCAAACTATTTAACCCCTGCAAGATCTCCTGAAATGTTGCAGCAAATCTCTCTGCATTATGAATTTGGCTTCATTGCTAAAAGTGTTATCGAAAACTTGTCTAGCACAGATAATAAAACAAGATATCAGGCTGTTGAAGACCTGAAAGTCACGTTAGAAAATTTAAGAGACACAACTCCACTGAGGAAACACATGATACCAGTGATCAGTCTTATGCAACCTGTTATTGAAGATAACAATTATCGAGTATCATGCAGCGCCCTGCAAACTTTGAGCGTCATTGTTGCTAAACTTGGTCATGATATTAGACCATATGCAAAACTCATTGCTACGGCAGCTTCTCGTAGAATTGGAAGTAAAGATGTCATCAGAGGGGAATGTGTACGGGTGCTAATCAATTTACAAAATGTTACTGATTCTGCCACTGTTCTTGATCATTTTTGGAGTAAGTTACAACATAAGCAAGCTAAAATAAGGGAAGAAACTATCAATTTGGTTATAGCTTCTTTACTTACTTGGAAGCACAAAAGGAGTGATGCAGAAATGGAAAAAATCTGTGCTATGTTGGCTCCTATGTTGATTGATCCAAAACCAAAAGTGCGTCATGCAACTATCGAATGCATTTCTGTTATTGCTGATCTTTGCGGACCGAATTCAAAAATTCTAACGAGTGCGATTGACCAGCTTGAAATAAACCATGATGACGCCACAGGAGTGATGTCCGCTGTCCAAGCACGTTTAATACGTAAGAAACTGCCAAAATTGAAGGATAACATGCTGATAGAGTATGCAATATCACCAACAAGTTTTGGACAATTATCTTCCCCTCAAGCTGCAGATATTAACTGGATTCACGTTCCACCCAGTGGAAGTTCGAGTCAAAGCTCATTATCCCATATCAGTAGTTCCATAAACAGCTCGTTCAACAGTTCCATGGATTTAATTGACAATGGTCAAGATGGTTTAAATGGTGACCAACGGCGACATCCAAGCGCCGGCAAAAGGGGAGTATTTCCATGGGTGAGGGAAATAGACAGTCAAGAGAGGCATTCTAACAGTGCACCAGTTCAGGTATGTTTTGTATCGTTTATTAAATAATAAGCTTTGTGTTCGCAGGTCAATAATCTTAGTAACAGGCAATGATAGTAAGGTTATTATCACTTTGTATATGGAGATGCATGTAGTATTTTTTTACTAAAGGATACTGTTTGTCATATGTCATAATGTCACTACTATTTTATTGTTTTTCCTTCCGATGAAATA